AGCTGTCTTGCAGGATTCTGGTGAGGGTCAAATTGATATTAACAAGGTAGATAATGTGCAAGAGTAGCTCTGTCATTTGTCATCGTACTTGTGCCATCTGTATGCAGGGATTTCCTTTTTCCTAACCTGTGTGGATACTCGTTTTACTCACACAGAATTATACCTAGGTGCGTTAGTCAGTTTTGCATAAACCTGTGAATTGCAGGGGTTTGCTTGATAGTAAACATTTATTTTCATGTTCATGCCTGTGGTTTAGCTGAACTAGCTCAGGATGGCTGGCTCCTGTGGCTGATGGTCCCATGGCTGGGTTCAGAGCTGACGCATGTGTCTTCTATCCCGGGTCCAGACTCAAATGCAGCAACTGATGGGGACAAAGGAGACGTACACCTTGCCCTGCACATGGTGGGAATGCAAGAGGGGCAGACTTAGGACCAGCACATCATCACTTCTGTACACACCCCTTTGGCTAAAGCAAGGCACTAGTCCAGTCCAGAGTCTGAGGTTGAAGAGGAATAAGACCCACAGTGGGTCTTGAAAGTTAACAAGACCGAGGGCAGAGATTTATGATTCGAAATAGTGTTGGGATTGGAATGAAAGAGTACAGACTGTCACACCATCTCTGCTAGTCTACTGGGGTGAAGCAAGGAGAGCAAAGGAAGAGCAAGCTGAGGAGAGGGCTGGCTAGGCAAGTACCATGCCCTTGCTTTTCGGTGATGGATGCTTAGTAAAGTTGGTATCTGGAGGTCAGTGTTTTAGGAAGACCATGATCTGTGATTCTTAAGGAGACCTCATATTTATCCGTAAGCCATTACCAGACTGTCCTAATTACTGTAGCTTTTTGGCAGATTTCAGAGTCAGGAAATATAAGCTTTCCAACATTGTTGTCCGTGGTCATTTTGGCTATTCTAAAGCCAGTGCATTTCCTTATGAACTTTAGGATGAGCTTGTTGCTTCCTCATCTAATTTAAATGTATGATTCAAGCTTCAAGAAGATTCAGTCTGTCACTACTTGCATCGAGTTTTGAAGTAAATGAATCTGCCACTTGTCCAACTAATATTTGTCAATATTGTCATGTTTGGCTTTGCATGGTTGGTTCTAGTCTTATGCCAATGAGTCAGTCCATACACAATCTTTGTATTTATGTATCTTGTAATTGAATCACATCAATAAATAATAATCTCACATTAATGAATATACAATCTCTAACTTACCATAGTTTGGCTTACAATTTTGTGACTTTAGGATGCTGAAAAAGTAACTTTGTTTGTTTGTTTTTCTTTTGGTGGAACTGGGGATTGAATTTAGGCCTTTGTGCTTGCCAGGGAAGCGTTTATTCTACTGAACCATCTCCCCCGCCCCTAGTAACTGTTGTTTTCCACTTCAATACAGAATCAAATGCATTATATGAGATATTTAATACTTTATTACATAGTAGGCTTTGTAGTAGGTGATTTTGCCCAACTGTGGAATAATGTAAATTTTCTAAGTATGTGGGAGTTAGGCTGGGTTAAGCTATGACGTTCAGTATTAGCTATATTCATTGCATTTTTAAATTTAAGATATTTTGACTCAGAGTGGTGAACCCAGGACAAGACAAGACATAATCATATCTAAGTTGAGGAACATCTATATAATTAAAATTGGAGATAAATGCCATAAGCAGCACAACAGTACATGGAAGATGTAACATTTGAGAAAGTACAAGGAGTTCACTAGACAAAGAGGGTGAAAGAAGTAGCTATTGGGGCGGAGGGGATGGCATGGGGAACGGACCCATGGCTAAAGAATCACAGCTTATTTCAGCATCTAAACCAGTCTCATGTGGCTGCAGCAGAGACCCTTGAAACAAGACACAGCCAGAGAGGTGCACAAGAGTCGGAACATCTATGTGATTGAGAGTTTTATCCTTGACCACTAAAAGCCATT